CATAATGTCATTTTACCCAACTGGTTTCTTGTTTACTGTTATTTAGATACATTTGTTTCTCACTTGGTTCATTTACTGTCTACTCTTTTTTGCAAGTGTTTACCACTTGCCCTTGGCTCATCATTGCTCAAATTCAGATCAACTTTATTTGGAAGTGGACACAAAGCCTGTGAAAACCGCATTAGAGATTTTCTTCAATAGCTACACTAATTTCTTAACTCAATTTACCATATCGAAAAAACACCTGATGAGAAGATCTGTTTGTCTTTCTAATCCAGGAATCAATGACATTGACCGAATTAGTTGCTCCTGATCAATTGCAATTACTTTTAAGGAAAACCACAGGGATGGAGAAATAATTGTAACATCAGAGATGCTAAATGGTAAACAATTAACAACAGCTTTTAAAGAATGAGGAACAAATGGTGCTTATTCCCCATTCACACAGTAATGCTTTGGATTGAAAACCGTATTACTAACAGATGTGACTCTCCAATCATCCTGTTCACACAAAAGCTTACAGAAGCAGTTCAAATAAAGCCTGTATGAATGAATAACCAAAATCGAGCGCCTTTCTGTTTATAGAAAGGTCAAATACGGTAACTGCTATATGTCATAACAGACTAGTTACTAGGCTTAACTGTGTTCACATTCAGAGATAGCAAAACGGTGTTTCAAATTGATATAAAAATTTATATCAAAACAAAATTCAGTATCTTATGTAATTTTCTCGCATTTTATTCTCACTAGTGTGTTTTGCCTCTGTATGCATCAGAGAGTGAAAACATCCAGCTAAATGCAGCATTAACATTAGCCAGTATGCTGGCAAGCTGTTTATCTGTTGTCTTTGTATTTCTTACGGAACACAAGAGCCTGGCCAGAGATGATTTGCATTCTTGTATTTGTCAAGTCGACAGTGGTTAACATTTCATGAAATGGCAGACAGTCCAAATACGCCCTGAGCACAGAGAAGTGACAAACTATAGTGCAAAGCATCTGCTGTTCTTTTGATATATGCAAATCTTCTAATGGAGTGGAAAAACACAAAAGTCCTATTTATTATCCCCTGTGGGTACGTGTGAAAAGTTTAAAGCATTTCACGAGTCATGCCCGGGAGGACCTCATTTATGATGCATGCACATTTAATATGAATTCTTATACAGAGTGCTCCTGACTTTCTGTTCAGCATTTTAAATATATCCTTTAAAGGAATAGTTCAGCCAAAAATTTGAATTTTGTCATCATTTAGTCACCCTCGTGTCATTTTAAACTTGTCTGAATTTCTTTCCTGTGTGGAACACAAAAGAAGATATTTTAAAGAACAACACTGGACCCCTTTGACATATGGACAAAACACATACACACGTGTCAAAACATCTTCTTTTGTGTTCCAGAGCTTTGGAAAGACATGAAGGGGAAAATATTGAATTGAAATATAATGAATTAGCACTGAATCACTTCAAAAGTATAAATATATTTATAAAATTTCTTATCTTGCCATTAACAATGGCAACAGCACTGAAATCCCTCACATATGGCTGGAGTGTTTTGATTATAATGTGAATTTTGTGGTCATTCAGGCAGTCAAAGCTTAAGATTGGAGGTGTTGCATTTTAGCCTTGTTATTATTCTGTGATGCAAAGCTCCAGTGAACTCTCCAGTACAAGATCATTCCTCACGCTTAAAAGTGCTCTCAAAAATGTTTCTTTTTCAAAGCAGTTGATGGTAAAATAAATACAGATTTTCTGATTAATTAATTTGAATCCTGATACAGGTCCTTAATATCCCAGATCAATCCATTTTAGCGCCAAGGCAACTGTGTACTACAACAAAAGAAAAAAGTGATCTTTTTTTATTGATTTTATCTTTTTTTGTCCTTTTTCCATGCCAAAAAGTACCAAACTCGACCAGTGTAAACCAATTCATGAACAAATGACTCTTATAAGCCGATTATTTTAATGAATTGGACATAATAACTGAAAAACTTAAATATACCCTAATGAATCAGCACTGAATGAAATTGAAATTGAAAGCTGTAAATCAGAATCTGAATCTGAAAACACTAATCGATACCTAGCCCTACTTTATCTTCATAACCCCCGTTTACTGAATGCATTCACTTGTAGAATAATCAATATGTCAAAAAATCAATCAATATGTGCCAGTAAAAGTCCAAGACGACTATAACATACACAAAAAATAGAGTGCATCCTAGCGAACAGTTTTTTTCTGTACATCTATACCATTACAGCATTACACATGGTTTCCTCAACAACATCATAATGTCTGAAACATCAAATGTCTTCATAATCTGAAGGTGAGTTGTAGGGCTCAGCTGAATATCTTTACCTGCCCTTCAGCTCTAAAATGGTTATGGAAATCAAGAGCATTTTGAGGCCTGTGTTTTATTTTCAGTTCAGATGATAGCGCAGCACTTTGAAGCTGGTGTCAAACCCAACAAATGTGTATTTCTTACCTGAGGGAAAACATATCTTTATCTTTTTACCTGAGGGAAAAAAAAACATCTTTGTGTGAAGTAATGTATACAGCTGTACCTACAAATACCTACATATTGACTGCATGTACAAGCAGGTTAATAACTCATATGAGTGAGTGGGTGGCACCAAACTTGGCAATGAATGTACATACTGAGACAGATAAGTGAGAGGTTATAAGAATTCATAAAGCCTCCAAGTGTTGGGGGAGTTTTTTTTTTTTAAGTTGCAATTGGAACAGTGTGTGTCATTGAATGTGGGTTTATATACACAAGGACAGTACACTCATCGGCTAAATACAGTCTGAATGGGCATTTCTGGAGGATTTTAAAGAGTTTTTCTTTATAATAGCACTATGATATTAATGGTGTAATCAATAAATCCTGCTATTCTATTTTGTATGACATCAAACATGATCAAACTGCATTAGAAAGTCAATTAGTCCAGCATTCATAAACAATAATACTTGTGATTTTACTGATTAAGAAATGTACCTAGCTTTAAGATTTGTATAATTTGGAAGTTTCTTGTCCTTATGTCTATGAGAACATGAAAGACACTGGTTGAGAACTGTCAGTCCAAGCTGCTTTACCATAAACTATCTGAAGTGGATGGAAGTTTTAAGGCCTATAAGCATTGGCAGAACACCAGAATTGCCATTAAAAACATTGCTCAAATGGACTGTATAGCAGATTCTACCTTTTAAATTGAAAGTGAAATGCTACATGTGAGTTTACAGCTGTCTCCATATTGGGCTGATTTGTGGATGTTCAAAAACCACCAATTTAGCAAAGAACACAGCATGCATTAAACATTATGCTGCTGTACACTGTAATTATTTGACACCTCTATATTTCTGGAAATTTGCTTTTTAAACATTTTATTCAGACTGAAAACAGCCTACAGCTCCATTTTAACAATATATATGATATGTGACAGATGCATCAGTTAAAATTCTTATATAAAATAAAGCGCTTTATTGGTAAATTCTGTCATTTTTCCTCAAACCTGTAAGCTGGTATATTAATTATTTTTTATTTTTTTGCCTTTATTATGACAGGACAGATTAGAACTGACAGGAAGAGAAAGTGGGAGAGAGATCGGGAAAGGTCCTCGAGTCAGGATTCGAACACGGGACGCCTGTAGCTGACAAATGAAGTCCATTTTTTAATCTGAACATGGAAAGCGAAATGATAGTTCAGAAAATAATATCTGTTCCCAAAACTATTGTATAAATTCACAAGTTGTATGGACTACTTTTTTCAGACATCACTGTCAGAGATTGGGCTACAAATAACCATTACCTATTACTTATACAGAAAGTGTTAGAGTGGGGTAAATTTTCAGTCAAGTCCTATTTTTAACCCTCGTTAAAGCAATGGGTTGCCAGATCTTGGCCTTCTCTTTCTGAACTGCTTTTGTAACATGAAAAAGGCAACCGCCACTGTGGTCTTGCAATCTGGTCACCTGGTTCAATTACCAATATCCCATTAAATCTTTTAAAAAAAGTTCTTATTACACCGCAAATGCCTCTATCTGCTTATTTTTTAATAGGTTGCAATAAAACTGTATTTTCTCTCTTTTTAGCATCTCAGCTGATCCAAGAAAACTTTTCAGAAAACTGATGACAGAAATCATCTTGAATTATCAGTCGATATTTCAAGTTTTCCGTTAACAACTTTTAGACAGTACGATCTATCACTGTATGGAAAATAGCTATATAAAGACACATTATAAGTTCACATTTTTTCCCACTAAACAAAAAACAACAGCATGTGGGTTTAGAATTATCGGAGGACAAATAAATAACAGAATTTTCATTTTTGGGGAGAACTATCCCTTTAAGTAGGCTAGTATCCTTTATCTGAATCATATAAAGATATTTTGGACTCACTGGGGGCACTGAAGCATGATTTTATGCTATAAAACTTTTTTTTTTAGGGAACAGCTATACTAATTAGATTGCCTTAGACTGACTTGACTCATATCACCTGTGTCATATCATTATAGTGCTCTAGTTACTTGCCTCCTTAGAACTAGTTTAGAGCTGGAAATTTGGTTCAACCATTATGTCACTAACAAGTGACATCACTACTACCGGAGAATTCAGTGTGGCTCCAGATTCATGTCTCAACACTACGACCGCGCGCAGTGCAATCGACGGGATGAAAGGCGAATGACTTTCCTCCCCACACATTAAAGTGTGACGTCTAGCCCTCCGCACCTTTAACTTTCACAACACCCGAAGCCTTGTTACCTACGTTGGGCATCCGACAGGCTGCTTTCACGACTTCGCTTTTGCGCATGATACTGCGGTTCCGACGCCACTTCACGCTCCAACTCACCTTGAAACGGGGTGCTCTCAGTTTTTACATGGAGAGCGACGGAGAGGCGACCAATCCCCGCCCCGACGTCTCCCCCACCGGCCAATGAAATTCGAGCGGGGGCGGAGCTAACAGCTAAAAGTCAGGCTTGGTTTCACGCTGGCATTGCCATCAAGCCGCGTCTGGCTGCCGTGCGCTGGTGCAGGTGCTCTATTTCATCGAGAGAGGATGCGAAAGGAAAGAAGGGGAGGGAAGGAATGAAGGGAACCGTCGGAGAAAAGTATGCAGGGCATGAATAAAAGGGTATCAGCAGCTGACAGTGTGTCTAACGTCCAGGGGCTCGGCTAAAAATGATTTATTGAAAGGGGCACTTTGAGATATGATGAGGTTTCTCTCTGGTTGGCAATAGTACTATGATTTGGTATGTGGCCACTTTGATAGCAAGTGTATTCAGCACCAGAGGAACAGCTGCTCAAGGTGAGTTGAAGTGCAATTTATTATATACAGCCTTAAGTTTGCTGAGTTTTTTTTTCTTCTCCAGTCAATAATATAAATATCTTTTTTTTTCTTTCTGGGATTGGGTCATCATGGGTTATTATTATTTTTTTTAATATTTAAATGCTATTTTATTCGTGTTGAATATTTTAAAATGAACAATATAGCAGCTCTGGGTTCTGGGTATTGTATAATTATTTTGGATTATAATGTTGTGTTAATTTATAAATAGTATTGCTGTGTCATTGGTTAATGACATTTCTGTTCAAGTGCTAGTTTTTAAGGTATTCAGTCTTGCAGAACTGAAGGGTTTGAGCTGGTGCTCTCTATTCCAACCATTTTCACCTGTTTTTCAATCCCATGAGAAACTTTGGGTTTGTATACTTCATATTAAGTGTGTTTTATCAAATTAAAGGGATTGATCACCCTAAAATAAACATTTTTATCATGATTTACCCACCAAAAGGAGATGGTATCATTGCATATTTGTGGTAACTGAGGCTGTCATTTTGGCTAACATGGTTTGCAACCTCAGGAAATTGAGTAAATGATGACAAAATCGGTGAAATATCCCTTTAAGCTCTGAAAATATACATGGCGAACTTTAATTACACATCTTAAGGTGTTTTTAATGGAGATGCTGTTACGTATAACTGGTATGGTGCTCAATAGTATTTTATTACACAGTATCAGTGTTTTTGGCTGTATGCAGTTTTAGTTATTCACTTTTTGAATATTATGCCTTTTTAGACCTTGCAGAGCTTTTTAACCATGAGAGCACTCTAAAGGAGCCACCATAATTGTAATTCAAAATATGTTCTGTGAATCTGGTCGACCTTCAGACTTGTTTAAATAAGTGGTGTGTCTTTATTTCAAATGTTGGGTTCATGGACTCATATAGCCCTGCAAATTCTAACTCGTCCACTAGAGGGCTGCTAGCCGAATAGCAAGGAGCATCCAATCTTGGATCACATGAGGACTTTTTCAATGCATGCACTATGAATAATTACACATTTCCCATGTTGAGAGAGACACTATACCTGTTTCAATATATGGCTGTAGATGTAGGTATTATTTAACCCTAATTTTTAGGTACATAAAGCATAACGTGATCATCTTACCTTGCTAAACTTGAGCTGTATCATCTGCTTAATCTGACAGTGAGACGTCTTTCACCTTGCTGTTCTGACTGTGCACTTTGCTACGTACGCTCAGTGTCTCCCTCCTGTGTGTCAGAGTCATGCTGCACTATCCCAGCCCCAGTGCAGCTCTCTCCCTGCCCTCACCCTCCCGTCTCAAGCTGTCAGCTGGCAAACAGGCCCGCAATCACCAGCTACAAACCTGGCCAGGTGCCAGATCTCTACTTTGTTGCTCTGTCTAAACAGAGGACTGGGAAACAGCAGACTGAGAGCCATGGGCTGATGTGCTGCTCCAGGTAGGCCCCCGAGGCTCAATACTAGCTGACCGCACTGAACTTGTTGAGACCTCCAGCAGTCCACCTCAGGAACAGGCCTACTTCCCTCATGATAAGAGCTTGTGCCTAACATCTGTCCCTTTTAAATTTGTTTTGCCAAATCGACATGTCTGTTCGAATGTCATTTTGGCAGGTGCTCAAATTGATCTTTTTATCTAAATGTATCTAGATTGGCACCAAGGAGGTTTATAGTAGGAGAGTCGTCAGATAGCATTCCCATTTATGTCCAGAGTTTTGAGCCAATCACATGAGCCCTAAATGACTAATATAATATAATATAATATAATATAATATAATATAATATAATATAATCAATGAGCAATATTACACGAGTAGCTGAGCGATATGGCTGTATATCAGCACAGCTGTGATTTGGCCATTGGCACATGGCTGCAGGCATATTTCACGGCATATTAGTTATGTAAAATATTATTTATTGAACAATAATATATAAATGAACAACAATAGCCATTATAAAAGTATAATACGTTTGTGAATAAACACAAGCAAACAATTCAGTCAAAGGTAGAAAATCGGCACTCTATTTAGTACAGGATTTAGTTACATAAAAATGAAAAGATGTGAAACTTAACTTTACCCTAATGCCAAATTGATTTGCTCTGCCACAAGTAGTAGATTAATAAGACAAAATTGTGCCTGTTTAATATAACCAAAATGAATTAAACCTCATGTAACACCATCTACAGAAGAGCCAGCAGCAAATTCCCGAAGGACTGGCTGAGATAAAGCTGTTCTCGGCGGGTACACAAGCGCTGAACGGCCGCTGTCGGCTTGGAGCTCACATCTCCGAAAACGTCTAAACAAATTTCAAATATTCACTATCTTTATATATAAATCACACATTTGAGGTCTGAACAACTATGTTCACGCATATGTTCAAATCTCTTAAAACTACATTCTTTGACACAATAACAGTAATAATATTGTAAAATTATAGGGGGTTTGCTCTTCTGCCATTGACACTTACTGAGACAAATGCTGTCTGTATATATCCGACAACAAGTGGAGTGATACAAATGTGAAACAGTTAGAGTGCTGATACTCGGATTCGAGATCCAGAACAAACTGTTGTATAAAATATAATATAGACAAATTCTCTGCATTTATTTGATAAAAAATTCAGTAAACAGTAATGTTATGAAATATTATTACAATTTAAAAAGACTGTTTTTTATTTGAATAAATTGTAAAATGTAATTTATTTCAGCAGTGGCAAAGCTGAATTTTCAGCAGCAATTACTCCAGTCTTCAGTGTCTTTCAGAAATCATTCTAGTATGCTGATTTCTTATTATTATCAATGTTGAAAACAGTTGTGCTGCATAATATCCATTTCTTAAAAAATGTTTGACCTCAAACTTTGTGACATTTCCCATATGTATATTATATTATATTATATTATATTATATAAATATGACCTTTTATTCTCCACAATGCCATAGTTACAGCATCTACCAGAAGGTGCTAACAGGCCATGCTAACCAGCCAAATCTTCACTCCTTGATTTGAGCAGACAGGATGTGATTTGAGCTGATGTGGATACATGTGAAATGATGGTGATTTGTTTTAGCAGTTAGCACCTGCTAGCAGACTAGATTCTGCCGGGTTCTTAACCCTTAGGCGTTGTTGATGAAACTGCCAGCTGGAAATGGAGAATCTAAAGAAAGCTTGCTCTGGAGGTTTGTACCGGAGTCTATGTTTCATGGAAAGCCTGTTAGAGGAGGGCTAGCGGGGGACCTGACAGCTGCTCATTTTTAAGTGGTGTTGGATAACATTGGATGTGTTTTCCAACAGTCATCACTTCTCTTTCATCCTCAGGCTGTGATGGCTTGATCATCATCCAGTGGAATGATAAGCGTGTAGGCCTCTTCCCTGTGGAAAAATTAAAATTGTTTATATAACAAACAAGCAGCCTGTCATCACATCTGGACTAGTTTCCAACACCACTCACACGAGCATGACGTTTTCATGTCGTTTCTCTGTCTTGCTACTACAGATTGCAAAAAATAAAAAATAACCCTCAAATTGCTATATTTCAACTCATTGGCTCTCTTGACCGATACTTTCAATGTCTTGTAATTATGATTTATAATGTCAGCTATAATCCAGCCAAATCCATGGCAGGCGTTCCAATCAAACAATGAAAAGCAGCTGACTTGCGCTGATTGCATGGAAAGCTGCAGAATGCGAACCACAGAGGGCACAACTGAGGCAGCCAATTTCCAAATGCATTTTGTTGGCTCCAGTGATTCTGAGTGAGGGGTAATGCTTTGGGCAATAAAGAAAAAAGTGGAGTTACAACTATTAAAACACAAAAAGTATATATTTTTAAATTTTACAGTTACTTTTTATTTGTTTTGGGGCTTTTGCCTTTCTATAGGACAAAAAAAGTTAGGAAACAATATAAAAAGTAGAAGGGCAGGCAAGTTGGACTCTCTTTCTATTAAAAATTGTATTATTGTATATGTAGCTATATATATATATATATATATATATATATATATATATATAAATGTTAATTATGGATGTAAGTTAAAGGGTGTCTGAATACTTTCCGTACCCACTGTATATATATATATATATATACATACAGTGCCTTGCGAAAGTAAGTTCATACCCCTTCATTTATTTCACGTTTTTTTATGTTGCAGCCTTATGTTAAACTGCTTTAAATTACTTTTTTTCCACATCAGTCTACACTCCATACACCATAATGACAAAGCAAAAACAGAACTGTCACAACTTTGTTAATATATTAAAAATAAAAAAACTGAAATAAGTACATTGCAACTCAGTACTTAGCTGAAGCACCTTAACAGCCTCAAGTCTTTTTGGGTTTAATGTCAAGGACATTCACAGAGTTGTCTATAAGCCACTCTTGCTGTGTGCTTAGGGTCATTGTCCTGTTGGAAGGTGAACATTCTGCCAAGTCTGAGGTTCTGAATGCTCTGGACTAAGTTTTCATTAAGGCTATTTCAATATTTTGGTGCATTGAGCTTTTCTTCTACTCTGATGAGTCCCTCAGTCCCTGCTGCTGAAAAACAGCCCCACAGCATGAGGCTGCTACCAGCACACTTTACTTTTGGGATG